TGTGTGTGTGCGTGCGTGAGTGCACCCATTGCAACCATGCTCACCTGCCAAACCCATCTCCTGTTTCAGTTGTCGTTTAATTTCCACGTCACCATATAGATTTTTTATATTGCCTCTTAAAATGTCTTTCCTTTAATACATCCTGGTATTGAGCCTCTAAGTGTCTTTCTCTCAACCTTGTTTTAAAGCCCCCTGATATAATTTGTTACCTGTTGTGTGTGCAGATTGTCTTTGTCAATATCTCTAGGTCCTTGATTTATTTTGACCCTTAGCAGAAATAAGCTGTTGTTGCATGCCAGGGGCGTGAGGTGTGGCAATTTAGACAAGGACATGAGCCAAGAAACAGGCACCTGTAGGGTTGTGTTACGTTCAAAGCCAGAACCACGTAAGCGTTTCATTTTTAAAACAGCGTTAAGGGTAGCAGTCACAAGTTGGTGCAATAAATTCCACTAAATTGAATGTTGTTCTAGCAAAGCCTGGCTTGAGTTCATGTCATAAAATATATTGGTCATATTAAGCGATGTGACTTACAGCAGCTAAAGATAGATAGATAGATAGATAGATAGATAGATTAGATAGATAGATTAGATAGATAGATTAGATAGATAGATAGATAGATAGATAGTTAGATAGATAGATAGATAGATATTAAGGCAAAGGATTAAAAGAAAGGGAAAATAGAGGGATGAAGAGGGACTCAAGACAGGTTGGCGGGCTGAAAGAGGAGGAGGAGAAGAAGAAGAAGGGTGGATTAGTTGCCATTTATCATTCTGACAGCTGACCCTGTGGCTGGCCTTGGGACCTCACCGCATCCTCCTCTTCTCTGATTTTTCCTCTCTTCTCGCCTGTCCACACTTTTCCACTCCTCTGATTTCTTCATTGTTGTCCTCTTTTCCCACTCCCCTTTGTAGATTTCTCTTCTCACCTTTTGTCCTCTCCATTTTTCTAATTCCTTGTGACTTTTTATTTGATCAACCTGCTTTACTTTACTTTCCTACTTCCTTCCCTCATTTTCACCACAGCCACAAGGAGGCATGAAAAATACATGAGCAACATAGATGAGTGTGTTGCTTAGCCCATCAGGAAAGCAGAAACTGAGCTCCAGTACATTTCCCCAAACGTGGGCTTTTTGCCTAGTTCTGATGGCTCCCCACATGATAATAGAGTAATACTACCGGTATGGTGTAATGAGTCTGCAGTCTTCCAGAGAAAGAGATGTAATAAATTCCCTTTGGCCCTTAGCCTGAAAAATTTGAAGAATCTAATGTGTTCATAAATAATAGTCTGACTGCACTGTGGCTTCATCAAAGGAATTTGTGCAAGATTCAAATAGAAAAATATGTGAAATTATGATTGTAAAATAAAAATAATTGTTATGTCCTGCTGCCAGTTGAAGTTAAACCAATTGCTCCTTGTGCAAATTGTGCAGTATTTATTGTGGCTGAGTGACAGCAAGTTTGATATAGCCAGGTAGCTAATTGTCATACTTTGCTAATAGAAGTGTACATCGCTGTACCTCCTGGACACTTTAGATAGGTGTCTTACTAAGTAAGTGGTGTGCATTGACTGGTGTGGTCAGTAGTCTGGGTTTTGGTAGTTGGACTGCTTCATAGAATCAGAGGGTTGGTCTTATGTAAGCTCATTACTGCCGAGCTACAAAATTCAACTCAACATTTAACACTGAGTGACCTTGAATGGCCCATGCTACAAAGCACTGACCAACCTGCAGAAATACTGTGTAGATGTTGATTGGAACAGCCACCTTTTGAACTTTTTGTGCACTTGTGCTTGGCTGAGGTTGTGGGGAAGACAGAACCTCATGATAACCAATGATACCTTTGTCCTTGGTAACAATTAAATATTGAAAAGAAACTTGTAATCTCATGCATGACATGCTGTTGTTGAAGTTGTATTCAAATGTTCTTATTGTATGTTTAGGGCATTATTTTATTATTTTTTTGAAGGGGTTGTTGTAGATCATCTAACTCCCACTTTTTTCACCCCATCCCTTCTCTCTCTCTCTCCTCGGCCTTCCCCGTCGCCGCCAGTCGTTTGGAGCAGAACTTGATTAAAAGTGTCCCAGCTGGAGCCTTTTCTTCCTACAAGAAGCTCAAGAGGATGTAAGTCTGTCTGGATACAACTGCAAACACACTCTCAAACACACATATACATGCACACAAGTTGGCAAGCATACAAACATGCTCTGATATGAAACAACATAACTTAGCAACAATCTTGTTTTACTGGCAACACACATGGATGCATTCGTTTTTTTTGCTTATTTATCAATTTATTGTACCTGCATTTAATCAGGTTTAACCACTGAGGTAAACTATAACAATTGTATTATCTGCATAATGCTGAATATAAGTTCTATGTACATTCACTCCTGGATAACTAATGTTTACAGAAAATAAAGCAGATCCAGTATAGTACCCTGGGGTACTCCAAGGTAATTGTCAGTAAACTAGCATAAACTGAGCGCATTGACTTTCACAAATTGAGTCCAGCTGAGATCATTTTTAAACCAAGTGTGTTCCTCTGTCAGACATTAATGCTATGGTCAACTTAATCTGTACTGGTGAATTCACTTAGACATAATGTGATGAAAGTATTTTTAGATGTGGTCTCTCTTCTAAGGTCATATCCGCAGACCTCATTTTTAATGAAGAATTTACCTCTGTGACAGAAAATGCTTTGAGATTATTTGACGGATGCATAATCAGTTAATGCTGTTTATAACATTTACAGACTGTGAGCTACAATACCCTAATCAAAAAGTAGGGTACATGTTTAATCTGAAGTCATAACTGGCACACACACACACACACA